AGAGAAGATTCAGCGGTATGCCACCAGGCTCGTCCCGGAACTGAGAGGATTGAGCTACGAGGAAAGGCTAAAGGAGCTGAACCTCACATCCCTGGAAAACAGAAGAGTAAGGGGAGACATGATAACCACCTACAAAATTCTCAGGGGAATTGACAGGGTGGACAAAGACAAACTCTTCAGCACGGGTGGGACACGAACAAGGGGACACAGGTGGAAACTTAGTACCCAGATGAGCCACAGAGACGTTAGAAAGAATTTTTTCAGTGTCAGAGTAGTTAATAAATGGAATGCACTAGGAAGTGATGTGGTGGAGGCTGACTCCATACACAGTTTCAAATGTAGGTATGATAGAGCCCAGTAGGCTCAGGAATCTGTACACCAGTTGATTGACAGTTGAGAGGCGGGACCAAAGAGCCAAAGCTCAACCCCCGCAAGCACAATTAGGTGAGTACAATTAGGTGAGTACACACACACACACACACACACACACACACACGGGGTTTTGTTTTGTTCCAGCAGCTGACGATGATCCGGACTCCTCTTTCAACAGACGCAGAGAGACAGAGACGCAGGGAAACAGAGACGCAGAGACAGGGACATACAGTATATATATATATATAGATATATTATATATATATATATATATATATATATATATATATATATATATACAGAGTGACGTGGGTACAAAAATAGGCAGAGACCATTATATTCCCAGCGTGGGTACCCTCACCTGCCACTTGTAAACCTTGGCACTCGGGGCTTAATTGTACCACCTGCACCTGATACTTGGCGTGTGTGTGTGTGTGTGTGTGTGTGTGTGTGTGTGTGTGTGTGTGTGTGTGTGTGTGTGTGTGTGTGGCAGTCCTCCCACACGCAGCAGGTTCATTCTGTGGCGCAAGTCTGTGTGGAAATTCATCCCCTTTGTCCGGGTAATAAGATTAGAGACGCTATAGCTTTTTTTGGGGTGTGTGTATTTTCAGTGGACAGTTGTCCCTGGGCTGTGTTTAGAGTTGAATACTGTGTGTTACACGATGCTGGTCTTATGCAACCCCTGTTTAGTGTCTATGCTGGCATTATGGAGCCCCTGTTTAGTGTCTATGCTGGTCTTATGCAACCCCTGTTTAGTGTCTATGCTGGCATTATGCAACCCCTGTTTGTGTCTATGCTGGCATTATGCAACCCCTGTTTAGTGTCTATGCTGGCATTATGGAGCCCCTGTTTAGTGTCTATGCTGGCATTATGGAGCCCCTGTTTAGTGTCTATGCTGGCATTATGGAGCCCCTGTTTAGTGTCTATGCTGGCATTATGGAGCCCCTGTTTAGTGTCTATGCTGGCATTATGGAGCCCCTGTTTAGTGTCTATGCTGGCATTATGGAGCCCCTGTTTAGTGTCTATGCTGGCATTATGGAGCCCCTGTTTAGTGTCTATGCTGGCATTATGGAGCCCCTGTTTAGTGTCTATGCTGGTCTTATGCAACCCCTGTTTAGTGTCTATGCTGGCATTATGGAGCCCCTGTTTAGTGTCTATGCTGGCCTTATGGAGCCCCTGTTTAGTGTCTATGCTGGCCTTATGTAACCCCTGTTTAGTGTCTATGCTGGTCTTATGCAACCCCTGTTTAGTGTCTATGCTGGCATTATGGAGCCCCTGTTTAGTGTCTATGCTGGCATTATGGAGCCCCTGTTTAGTGTCTATGCTGGCCTTATGTAACCCCTGTTTAGTGTCTATGCTGGCATTATGGAACCCCTGTTTAGTGTCTATGCTGGTCTTATGTAACCCCTGTTTAGTGTCTATGCTGGCATTATGGAACCCCTGTTTAGTGTCTATGCTGGCATTATGGAGCCCCTGTTTAGTGTCTATGCTGGCATTATGGAGCCCCTGTTTAGTGTCTATGCTGGCATTATGGAGCCCCTGTTTAGTGTCTATGCTGGCCTTATGCAACCCCTGTTTAGTGTCTATGCTGGCATTATGGAGCCCCTGTTTAGTGTCTATGCTGGCATTATGCAACCCCTGTTTAGTGTCTATGCTGGCATTATGGAGCCCCTGTTTAGTGTCTATGCTGGCATTATGGAGCCCCTGTTTAGTGTCTATGCTGGCATTATGGAGCCCCTGTTTAGTGTCTATGCTGGCATTATGGAGCCCCTGTTTAGTGTCTATGCTGGCATTATGGAGCCCCTGTTTAGTGTCTATGCTGGCATTATGGAGCCCCTGTTTAGTGTCTATGCTGGCATTATGGAGCCCCTGTTTAGTGTCTATGCTGGCATTATGGAACCCCTGTTTAGTGTCTATGCTGGCATTATGCAACCCCTGTTTAGTGTCTATGCTGGCATTATGCAACCCCTGTTTAGTGTCTATGCTGGTCTTATGTAACCCCTGTTTAGTGTCTATGCTGGCATTATGCAACCCCTGTTTAGTGTCTATGCTGGTCTTATGTAACCCCTGTTTAGTGTCTATGCTGGTCTTATGCAACCCCTGTTTAGTGTCTATGCTGGCATTATGCAATCCCTGTTTAGTGTCTATGCTGGCATTATGCAACCCCTGTTTAGTGTCTATGCTGGCATTATGCAACCCCTGTTTAGTGTCTATGCTGGCATTATGCAACCCCTGTTTAGTGTCTATTCTGGTCTTATGCAACCCCTGTTAAGTGTCTATGCTGGTCTTATGTAACCCCTGTTTAGTGTCTATGCTGGTCTTATGTAACCCCTGTTTAGTGTCTATGCTGGTCTTATGCAACCCCTGTTTAGTGTCTATGCTGGCATTATGCAACCCCTGTTTAGTGTCTATGCTGGCATATGCAATCCCTGTTTAGTGTCTATGCTGGCATTATGCAACCCCTGTTTAGTGTCTATGCTGGCATTATGCAACCCCTGTTTAGTGTCTATGCTGGCATTATGCAACCCCTGTTTAGTGTCTATGCTGGCATTATGCAACCCCTGTTTAGTGTCTATGCTGGCATTATGCAACCCCTGTTTAGTGTCTATGCTGGCATTATGCAACCCCTGTTTAGTGTCTATGCTGGTCTTATGCAATCCCTGTTTAGTGTTTATGCTGGCATTATGCAACCCCTGTTTAGTGTCTATGCTGGTCTTATGCAACCCCTGTTTAGTGTCTATGCTGGTCTTATGTAACCCTGTTTAGTGTCTATGCTGGTCTTATGCAACCCTGTTTAGTGTCTATGCTGGCATTATGCAACCCCTGTTTAGTGTCTATGCTGGCATTATGCAACCCCTGTTTAGTGTCTATGCTGCTCTTATGCAATCCCTGTTTAGTGTCTATGCTGGTCTTATGCAACCCCTGTTTTGTGTCTATGCTGGCATTATGCAACCCCTGTTTAGTTTCTATGCTGGTCTTATGTAACCCCTGTTTAGTGTCTATGCTGGCATTATGCAACCCCTGTTTAGTGTCTATGCTGCTCTTATGCAATCCCTGTTTAGTGTCTATGCTGGTCTTATACAATCCCTGTTTAGTGTCTATGCTGGTCTTATGCAACCCCTGTTTAGTGTCTATGCTGGTCTTATGCAACCCCTGTTTAGTGTCTATGCTGGCATTATGCAACCCCTGTTTAGTTTCTATGCTGGTCTTATGGAACCCCTGTTTAGTGTCTATGCTGGTCTTATGTAACCCCTGTTTAGTGTCTATGCTGGTCTTATGTAACCCCTGTTTAGTGTCTATGCTGGCATTATGCAACCCCTGTTTAGTGTCTATGCTGGCATTATGCAACCCCTGTTTAGTGTCTATGCTGGCATTATGCAACCCCTGTTTAGTGTCTATGCTGGCATTATGCAACCCCTGTTTAGTGTCTATGCTGGTCTTATGTAACCCCTGTTTAGTGTCTATGCTGGTCTTATGTAACCCCTGTTTAGTGTCTATGCTGGTCTTATGCAACCCCTGTTTAGTGTCTATGCTGGCATTATGCAACCCCTGTTTAGTGTCTATGCTGGCATTATGCAACCCCTGTTTAGTGTCTATGCTGCTCTTATGCAATCCCTGTTTAGTGTCTATGCTGGTCTTATACAATCCCTGTTTAGTGTCTATGCTGGTCTTATGCAACCCCTGTTTAGTGTCTATGCTGGTCTTATGCAACCCCTGTTTAGTGTCTATGCTGGCATTATGCAACCCCTGTTTAGTGTCTATGCTGGTCTTATGCAACCCCTGTTTAGTGTCTATGCTGGTCTTATGTAACCCCTGTTTAGTGTCTATGCTGGTCTTATGTAACCCCTGTTTAGTGTCTATGCTGGCATTATGCAACCCCTGTTTAGTGTCTATGCTGGCATTATGCAACCCCTGTTTAGTGTCTATGCTGGCATTATGCAACCCCTGTTTAGTGTCTATGCTGGTCTTATGCAACCCCTGTTTAGTGTCTATGCTGGCATTATGCAACCCCTGTTTAGTGTCTATGCTGGCATTATGCAACCCCTGTTTAGTGTCTATGCTGGTCTTATGCAACCCCTGTTTAGTGTCTATGCTGGCATTATGCAACCCCTGTTTTGTGTCTATGCTGAAATTATGTTACTTTTGTGTTATATTAAGATCACATGTACATTCTGAGAGGATGTAACCGGTAACTTAATATTTTGCTGACACACTGTCACGCTGTCACACTCATGAACCTGAGAGACAGACACGATCCTCTCAGTTCAAGACCAGACAGAGCCATGAATACCTCTCAGTTCAAGACCAGACAGAGCCATGAATCCCTCTCAGTTCAAGAGTTTCTTGAACCATTCGACGACAGTGATCTGAGAGACAATGTAAACATTGCAGCCGGACGCCCAGAATCTGCTGCTCTTCCTCAGAATTTGATCTTTTGAAATTAAGCTAATCTTAGAACACATCTAAATGAGTCTTAAACGCGTTAATCTCAGGACTACACTAAATTACGTTAACTGATAGATGTCATAGGGGTCGAGTAGGAGGGGGTCGAGCAGCAGGGGGTCGAGCATGAGGGGGTCGAGCAGCAGGGGGTCGAGCATGAGGGGGTCGAGCAGCATGGGGGTCGATCAGCAGGTGGGGTCGAGCAGCATGGGGGTCGAGCATGAGGGGGTCGAGCAGCATGGGGGTCGATCAGCAGGTGGGGTCGAGCAGCATGGGGGTCGAGCATGAGGGGGTCGAGCAGCAGGTGGGGTCGAGCAGCATGGGGGTCGAGCATGAGGGGGTCGAGCATGAGGGGGTCGAGCAGCATGGGGGTCGATCAGCAGGTGGGGTCGAGCAGCATGGGGGTCGAGCATGAGGGGGTCGAGCATGAGGGGGTCGAGCAGCAGGGGGAGGTCGAGCAGCAGGTGGGGTCGAGCAGCATGGGGGTCGAGCATGAGGGGGTCGAGCAGCAGGGGGTCGAGCATGAGGGGGTCGAGCATGAGGGGGTCGAGCATGAGGAGGTCGAGCATGAGGAGGTCGAACATGAGGAGGTCGAGCATGAGGAGGTCGAGCATGAGGAGGTCGAGCATGAGGGGGTCGAGCATGAAGGGGTCGAGCATGAGGGGGTCGAGCATGAGGGGGTCGAGCATGAGGGGGTCGAGCATGAGGAGGTCGAGCATGAGGAGGTCGGTAGTGGTGGATGACAGAGCAGTGGGCCGGATACGCCACAACAAATAGTCGTGTATCATATTTTTCGACAAAAAAATCTTGTTAATAACGCGTGCACTTTTTGTTTCGTTTTTAGAGAGTTCGCGTAGCGGAAACTCGAGCTCTGAGTGGCTATGGATTTATTCCGACTACACTTGGAGAGAGAGAGGGATAGGCAGGGGGATAGATGAGAGGGAGATAGGGAGAGAGAGAGAGAGAGATAGGGGGGAGAGAGAGAGGGAGATAGAGAGAGGGAGATAGGGGGGAGAGAGAGAGGGAGAGAGAGAGAGAGAGGATAGAGAGAGAGAGAGCGAGAATAGGAGAGAGAGAGAGAGAGAGAGAGAGAGAGAGAGAGAGAGAGAGAGAGAGAGGAGAGAGAGAGAGAACGAGATGGTAAGAGTGTGAGTTGTGTATAAAATACTTGTGCACCTGTAATATAAGATAATCAAACACCTAACATCACTTAGCTCCTCAGGTGTTCACCTAACACATGCCAAAAGTAAACAAACACCTGCACCTTACTTAAGTTCGTAAGTAACTTTAAGTTTTCACCTGGTGAGATCTTTTATTTTTTCTCCTCCAAAAAATTTTTACTCCAGAAATTTCCTCAGAAATAAAAAAGAGGAAACAAGCGATAAATACAGGAGCAAGACAAGGGAACTTAACAATAAAGCCGGATGGAATAAGTACAAGAAATAACGATAACGCAGAACAGAAAATACAGTAAACAAACCATAGATAATAACAAACATACAGCTAATACCCTCATGGAGTGTCCAGGCAGACAGACTGGGAAAAACAAAGGTAACTGTATGCACTTACTCTTATCCAATGACCAACCACTTGGCCTGGACGGTAGAGCGACGGTGTCGCTTCATACAGGTCGGCGTTCAATCTCTGACCATCCAAGTGGTTGGGTACCATTCCTTCCCCCTGTCCCATCCCAAATCCTTATCCTGACTCCTTCCAAGTGCTATATAGTCGTAATAGCTTCGCGTTTTCTCCTGATAATACCCTCCCTCCCTCCTCATGTCCCAGGGAATGCATAAATTTTCTCAGGATGGGGAAAATGTCGTTTTGGAATGATGCATTGGTCAGTCCACCCAGACATGTGGTACTTCACTACACGACAGGAAAATTATATGAGCTATATTGCCTACATGTTCACATGACAGACACAGACTGCCACAGATGGAACGAAAGCAACATAGCAGCTATGTAGAAAATCTTAACATGAGAAACATGTCTCAAAAGATAAGAGGAGAGATGCATGTTATGGAAGCTCCGAGCCGCACTGTACATGGCACAGGTAGTGAGGTTTAGTTTGTAAATTATTACATTTCTAAATGTGATAAATAGAACGCTGTAAACTCTCTTACCTGAACAGATATGTTAAGACCATCAAGTAATCGGGTTGACACATTAAACATCAGAGTAAAAAAAAGTAAAAAAATACCGAATCCTAGTAATTATACTCACATGCAACCTCCCAGATGCAATATTCGAAAAGTTCACTGAACAGATCAGAAATATTGAGAACTTTAGAAAACTTGGACAACATCGAATACTTTCCTCCTAGGAAACTTGAGCTTTCCAGAACTGAGGTGGCACATGATAGATAATAGATAATATTATACTAGAACAACTGCCAGAAAGCAGCCTCGACCAGCCAATATAGACCAGAGAACTGACGAAACTTAATGATATGTTTGCGCTGAACAAACAGATGGTTAAACCAATTAGAGAGGGATAGCACACACACAATAATCTTCAAGAATAATGAAGAACTACTCAGAGACATCACAATCTTGGATAATCCTCACTTAGATCACAGTTTCGCTGGTTTAAAAACAAACAGTCCTCCCCCTGCCACCCATCCTCATTGGAGGAGAACATTCCTGTCATACCTGACAGGAATACAAGCCATAGTTACGTAGCATCCATCGCTGACGACACGAAAATAAATATGAAAATTGCCTCGGGAGCGACGCAGAAAAAATTGCCTTAGATGTTATCGGTTTTCCAATGAACAAAGGCAAATAGTTTGCTCAACGGTGAAAAATTCCAATTACTTTGATACCGGAAAAATGACAATATGTGTACACGATACAGCCAGCCCATTAGAAAGTCATGGGTATAGAGAGCTAACAATAAAGCTAAAATAGCAACAGCCAAAAAAATGATAGAGTTGATAATGATTATAATTCCGGACAAGGGCTGCTACTCCAATGATGATACTCTTCAAAGCACTGATACTATTTCGTATGGGAATATTGTCGGGTCCTTACATCCACTTTCAAGGCGGACGAGATTGAAGTGGTGGACAAAATGGCCAGGTCACTTACCCCCTTAACCCCGCGTGTAATCAGCGACGCACTTAAACTACCGGGACCATCTCGAAGGATTCAAACAATGGATCTAAGAATGGGGACGAGAAAGAGAGAGAGATCTCATAGTATCCACATGTAAAATATTGGCAGATCGATCTATATCAGGTTCCTAATCTGCACCTCAAAATTACAACATACTGTAATGGGAGATCTGGAAGGGATACTAAAATCCAATACAAAGTTGAGATGCCACAGGTGGCACTAGAGAACTCTGTACACAACAGAGCCGCACGACTCTTGAGTCTAATGCCAAGAAATGTAAGAATTATCGCTGGAATTACAATGGAAGTTTTCACAGAGGGAACTTGTCAAGTTTAGGGTGTAAAGACTGAGATCCTCACAGACCAGGCGATCACCAGGGAAGACTGAGGGAGAAGAACTCTCAGAGTCGTCAACAGGTAAGTTCTGAGATGAAAGATAATGTAAAGCCGAGGATTAGTGTGGGCCTTGGACGCTTTTCAACCCAATTTACTTGCTATTAAGACACTATTGATTACTCACAGCTGGTCACTTCTGTGTCACCTGATACTCCCACCACGACACCATTACTGTGGCGTCTCTCGACCTCTGTTCATCTCGTTGGCAACGTTAACATAAATGTTATTTTAAATATATCATTGTTTCTCTAAAGCAATATATTCCCACGTCGAGGCTGGGCAGGAGAGGAGACAGAGAGGAATGTGATACAAAATAAATCGACCACACTGGTCACGCTAGAACATATGTCACGCTGGCCAGTCATCCCGACCCATCACCCTGGCCCTGACTTCAGCTCCCCAGCATCACCAACTCGTCACGTCTCTCTATACTAACACCATCACTCTCTCTCTCTCTCTACCTTCTAAAATAAATCCAATTCACCTATCTCCATCATGGTAAGAAGAGGGGTTCAGAGTGGGTGACTGTAGCTGATGTGTGTGTTGGTGGCTATGTCGCCGGCGTGTATAGAGGGACACAGACACGGTGGGATCAGGTTAATTACATAGACAGTTATGTGTCTGGTCGAGTCGCGCCCCGTACCTTCCCGGGGACACGTAGCTGACCTCACCCAATCTGGGTTAACTCGTAATTCACATCAACCGGTGATTCCTGTTGGCATTCCGGTGAATAACGTTCTTTTAAATTGATTTATCTTTGTGTTGATGTGTGAAGTTATTAACCGAAGATTTACTTCAACAATTAGTAAGTGACTTTATTTCATGATATAATTCTACAATTGTTGATTATTTTTAAAAACTGGTGATTCATTTTCTTGCCATAACCAAGGACTCACTTCTACCACTGGTGATTCATTTAAGATTCACTTCTCAATCTGGTGATCCATCCAGTCATCCGAAGGTCTGGTGTTTCCTTCTATAATCCAAATGAATTCATTAAAATTTGTCATCACTGGAGATGTAGTCCGTCCTCATCAAGATTGAACTAAATGATCCAGTGTTCATCCCACTGTGAGTGACGGTCACTTTTCATACGACTCATCAGCCCGTCCTCTAAACAAAGACCCAAAGTCCATTCCATGCACCCGCCAAACCCAAGCTGTTTATGAATGAAAAACGGTTTACACGCGACTCGCAACTGATGACGTTCGAACACTTTCGGAACAAGTGCTTTTGGAGCTGATAATTAACTATTAATACCTTAAATAATTCACAACAGTTTTAAATAATCAAAATTTGCAGTGAGATTGACAGCTGAGAACGAAGACATTGTCACAAAGTTTATTGGTATCTTATACAACTCATTACAATACTTGTTCTATTACACTCTTCACTTGCCTTCTCTACCCTCTTGCTCTCTCCCCTTTCCCCTCTTCTCTCACCACAGACACAGCCACAGAGAAGTCCCCTCACACTCCCCCCTTCTTTACCACCCTTCTTCCCATCTTATTCACATCCTGCCCCTTTTCCCTTGCCTCAGTGATGCGCGCCGAACCCCGCCTCCATCCTGCTGTAGGCACCCACACCTGCCACCCCTCACCTGCCGCCCACACCTGCCAACCCCTCACACGCCCCCACACCCGTCGTTAACGCGGGCCTGCGCACCAACGCCTCCCGCCCCCGCATTTAAAAAGCTGCGACGCGCCTCTCTGGCTGTGACTGTCCCCGGGAGCTTCACTGCTGCAGGTGCTGTGTCAGGAGAGCTTTGGCACACGGAAGACGTCAGCTGTGCCTCGCTCCAAGCAACAGTTCTCATATGTGACATTCTGCCAGCCCGTCTGTTGCGTGTTCTTCTCATAACCAGCGGGAAGCTTAAGTAGGAGAGTGAGGACTTGAAGGAGGAGGAGGAGAGTGAGGACTTGAAGGAAGAGCGGCGCGAGGAGTCATCGACCTCCCGAGCCTCAGGAGAACCTGAGGACAAGCTTTGAGGAACATCGTCCTTACGAGGTATGACTCCAGATATACATTTGGGAGAGAAATATAGATATCTGCAACGTACCGCTTAGAATATATTTGTAGAGGGAGATAACGTGTTTAGAAGAGATTAATGTAGTCAGCTATCTCTAGAGTCAGGTATTTGAGAGAGCTTCTCACCTTCCTTACTCCTCTACCACAAGTACTACAACTCTGGCTCCTGCCTCAACCAAGCCAGATGAGTTTAGCCACATTTGTGTATGTATATATATGTGAGAGTCACTGCACTGATAACTCAACTAAAAAATGCAAAAGAGTGATATATTATGATTGCCAGAGGAAGGAATTGTAGTGTACAGGCGGAGGGCGGGGCCACAGTGTCGACACACCGCGTCCAATGTTTGTAAACATTGGATCACAGAGTGTGTCTAGTCCTGTACCGTCAAGTGTGTGTGTGTACTCACCTAGTTGGTGAGTACACACACGCACACACACACACACACACACACACACACACACACACTATTCACACACACACACACACACACACACACACACACACACACCACACACCACACACACACACACACACACACACACACACCACACACACACACACACTCACACACACAGGGTCACACACACACTCACACACACACACACACACACTCTCACACCTAACACACTCACACACACGCTGTTGTGTTTGCTGTTGTGGCAGCAAACTGTCAATCTGTTGTGATTGACAGTTGAGAGGCGGGCCGAAAGAGCAGAGCTCAACCACCGCGAGTACAACGAGGTGAATACAACTAAGTGAATACACATCCCCGGGAAGCAGCCCGTAGCAGCTGTCTAACTCCCAGGTACCTATTACTATTAGGTGAACAGGAGAATAAGGGTGAAAGAAACTCTGCCCAATTGTTTCCGCCTCCGCCGGGAATCAAACCCGGGCCCTTAGGACTACGAGCCCCCCCAAGCGTTGTCCACTCAGCCACGAGGCCCGTGAGCCTCGTGTCACACTGGATGAGAGTGATGACTAACCAGGGAAGGTGGATACTAGCACGTGACCTCACGTCACAAAAACACACAGAGGGAAGCGGAAATGTTACCAATAAGACTATGTAACGTAACGTCATAGTGGTTACTTGAGCCTGACATAACGACGGGTCTCATGCCTCGTTACCAGCGTCACGGCAACTCTTTGCCCTTATATGTCCACTGTTTACAAATTATATAAATATTATATATATCTGTTATATGTGAACATGTAACTGTTTCAACTGGAGCGTGTCTTGTGCAGTTGGGGATGTGTCATGTCTTGTGCAGTGGGCGAGACCGCGAAGGCAAACTTCGAACCCCAACCAGATTATATCCTGTCCACTGGCATCCTGATGTAATATGCAGCAGGATATTGAACTTAGGGCCGCAACTGGAGGCTTCATGCACTGCATGTTAACTTCCCACATCACCGACAGAGCTCCACTAACAGGAAATTTTGGGTACAAACCCACACTTGTCTATTGGTGAAATTTATGTAAGAAATTTACACCAAATCTTTCGCGCTCTCCTGAGTGCTTTATCAAGATCTGAGTGTGTGATTAGCACGAGACTTACATCTCAACGTCTAATCAAATCTCAACGGATTAGACGTCGAGATGTAAGTCTTGTCCTAATTAAACATTCAGACCTTGATAATACACTCAGGAGAGTGGGAAAGATTTGCTGTAAATTCCTTACATAAATTTCACATATCACAAGTGTGGGTTTGTATCCTATGATATTACGTCTGTTAGAAGAATTTACTTTTACTAACTGGAATGTTACCTTAGCGGAGTCAGACCTTATTATGAGTATGTGTCCGTGATGAGTAAGGCGTATGCCAGCTCATATCAACCACAAGACCTTACCAGTAAAAAGTAACCTTATTATCAATATAAGATCTTGCAGGTAATGCAGACGAGGAGTCATAATAACGTGGCAGAAATATATTGACCAAATCACACACGAGAAAGTGAAGGGACGACGACGTTTCGGTCCGTCCTGGACCATTCTCAAGTCGAAACGTCGTCGTCCCTTCACTTTCTAGTGTGTGTGGTTTGGTCAACTTACAGGTAATGACTCCGTTTAGAAAATATTTGACCTGTTAGCAACCTGAAGCCTTATAATATTATTTAAAAGAAGGCTTATTGTCTTTGCAAACAAGATTCCTGCCATCTTTCAGCGGAGTCAACCGGTTGGACTCTGGTTGCACAATGCAACCAGAGCCACAACCAACTGGGTGTTTTACTGATCCATCATTACGTCAGTTGCAATATAGGTCTGGTGGTGACGCGAGGTCACAGCCACCCACACATGTGACCTTTTTGTCGCTGTCCGGAAGAGGTCAAAGTGCACTCATTAGCTTTGTTGTGTGGGGGAGGGGTGGTGGTCGTTGTGTGGGGGGGTGGTGGTGGTGGTGGTCGTTGTGTGGGGGTGGTCGTTGTGTGGTGGTGGTCGTTGTGTGGAGGGTAGTGGTAGTGGTCGTTGTGTGGGGGTGGTCGTTGTGGTCACGGGTCGACAAGACGAAGCGCCCATCATCACACACACATTAAAATATATAATAATATCAAAGACATTGTCATGACTTGCGTATATAGGAAGAGTCTTCAGCACTAGCGACGAGTCTCTGAACACAACGTACGTCAGACCCGTCCTGCAGCCCCAAGAACATCATGGCACCCTCACTTTAAACTCATGCAGAAGCTGGTGAATTCTCATAATTGCCACTAGACCGTTCGCGGCACTGAAGGTGAAGAGCTACGATGATCATCTTAGCAAGGAAGGAAGGAGGAGGAGGAGGAGAGGCGAATTAACATTCCTTATAGATACTTAAGAGTATTGCTACGATGGATAAGGATAAACTGCCTGAGAAAAGTGGGGACAGAATGAGAGAGAGAGAGAGAGAGAGAGAGAGAGAGAGAGAGAGAGAGAGAGAGAGAGAGAGAGAGAGAGAGAGAGAGAGAGAGAGGAGAGAGAGAGAGGGGGAGAGAGAGAGAGAGAGAGGGAGAGAGAGAGAGGGGGAGAGAGAGAGAGAGAGAGAGAGAGGAGAGAGAGGAGAGAGAGAGAGAGAGAGAGAGAGAGAGAGAGAGAGGGAGAGAGAGAGAGAGAGAGAGAGAGAGAGAGGGAGAGAGAGAGAGAAGAGGAGAGAGAGAGAGAGAGGAGAGAGAGAGAGGGGGAGAGAGGAGAGAGCAGAGAGAGAGAAAGAGAGAGGAAGAGAGAGGGAGAGAGAGGAGAGAGAGAGAGAGAGAGAGAGAGAGAGAGAGAGAGAGAGAGAGAGAGAGAGAGAGAGAGAGAGAGAGAGAGAGAGAGAGAGAGAGAGAGAGTAAATAATCCAGTGTGACTGCACATAGTGAGAAAGAGAACAAGGCAACAATGAGACCCAACTAACAAGTGTCCTCATAACGTGTCCTCTCCGCGTTAGAGATGAGCCACTGAGCTGCAACTCTCGCTCTACTCTCGTTGTCTTGAATATAATCCAGTGTGTCGTGCACACAAACCCGGAGGAAAATCTTATATGTTCATCCTGGAGGTTTGTAGCAAACATTATTCCTTCTGTCCGTCTCACTCCTGTCAGTACTGAACCTCTGGGCTTCAGTCGAGAGGAACAACAGAAAACAATTCAGAGGAAAAGGATAAGAGAACATCTTTAAGAGTCGCCACCTCACTATGCTCATCTCAGCTTCTGATATAATCGCTAAGACCTCTATTCACTACACTTTAAGCTGCTCCACCACTTTAGAGACCGCCTCTCTAGGGATTCAGCTGACTCTTCACCTTCTTAATTTCCGGAAGGAGGGCAAGGACTTATGAGAGGTGATGAACAAAGTCCCTTTAGTGGCGCAGTGGTAATACACTCGCTCTGCGCGTCACGTCCGATCTAGTCTGGGTTCTTATCCTGGCCAGGGAGGATTGACTGGGCTCCAATCCTTACCTGCTCGCCTCTGTTCAGCCAGCAGTAATTAGGTAACTGCTTGTTAACCGATTGGTGGGTGGTGTTCCAAGGTTACCATAAGCTATGGGAAGAAAAAGTTCTTATCCTGCCACCAGCAGTCAGAAACTGTTCCTGTACCGCCTGGGTAAACAAAGCCTTAAAGTCCTGTTTTACCTAAAATCTGAGCACGTCTCAGAAGCACAAAACAGGACTTCCTCCAGTTAGAGGAGAGTACATCCTATATATAAACAGACGACCAGCGACTGAGAGTCGAGGCTGAGGAGCTGAAGCTCGCCAGCAAGCACTTAGAGGTGAAAACAATCAGGAGAGTACACTCAAGCACACCCTACACAATCAACAATCATCAGCGGATATCTTCAACGCAATACAAAAAACACACACACTCACATGCAGAACAAGTATAGCACAACCCCAGTTATTATTTGAGGTGGGAGCAGGAGCGTGACTCCCACGGTGTCCTTGTGCCTGGGATGGGCGTGGGCGCCCAGGCCTTGATGCCTCCCAGGGTAATGAGGGGAAACAGCATTATTGGAGCGCTGTCTGACGTGGCTGCTGGGAGGGGGCTCTCACCTCACCCGTGTAGACTACCAGGTACCGGAGCCATGATGGTACAGAACCTGGTTCCCATGGTACAAGACCTGGCCACCATGGCATATATCCTGGTAACATTATACGAGATTATAAGCGCCTCAAATTTTAATGTGATAACCTATAATTTAGAGACCGTGTTAATGAACTGAAAATTATCCTTCATGTCCCTTAAGAACGTCAACCTAGTACTTGGAGTTCATCAAGAGCAACATCTGGCCCTCACACATCTCATTATGACAAAACGAATTATTTTGATGCAGCCTCTTGAACCTTAATGCAAAAACCCTATCATTAAAATATCAGAATAGATATGAAATAGAATGTAGATGATATAGATTACTCCACCACACCTTGACAGCATCGTTAAGACAGGTTCCTGAGCATGTTGAACGTTGATTCAGAAGACGAGTGTCACCCTCAGCTTCTTAATAAGATGGACGTCCCTGAACTT